TGTATCAAAAAAAGCGCAACCTCGGAATTTCCCAAGAAATCGACATTGTTTTAAAGACAAAAGATTTTAGGCGCCTGGGAATTTAAAATAGCATAACTCTCAAAATTACTGCACACGCGAGTGCATAAAGCAAAATTTATGCATTTATTTATGCAAAACAACGGTAATATGATCTATTAGCAATTCGATTTCAATTCCCAGGGGCCTAAAATCTTTTATGCTTAAGAATTGCAAAGTAATTTCTTAGGAAATTCCGAGGTTGCGTTTTTTTATACACCCTGTATATGCACCCTGTCAATATTTTATGCATCTTTGCGTTCAGCTTAGTGCTGGGGCATTCAAATTCTAACAATACGTTATTTCACTAGTTTTGGTTTTTTTGGAACACCCTGTAGATAATTTTAATCTGGTTGATTGTACGTTGTTTTACTATTCTTCCGTAAATCAGACCAACCATACATACGTGCATGTTATTAAAATTATTAATTGGGTATACCAAACTAATTAATAATTTTCATAAATTAACCAACCATATTTCTTTATTTTGTTCACATGATAATACCGGATACCTGGTGAAGTATATATTGATCCAGTCGATCAAAATTAATTCAATCTTTGGACTGGTCAAAATTAATTCACCTCAAATTGCCTAGCCTGTGTAGCAGTCGCTTTATTTTATTCTTCTCGCCCTTTTTTTTCTTCGGCCATTTTTTCTAACTCGCCATTTTATATTCAAAAATCCTCAAAACCTACAATAAAATAAACCGACTGCTACGCAGGCTACAAATTGCCTGGACTTGAAATCTAGTCCAGTCCTCATAAGTCGGATTTGCCGGAGATATTATTACACGGAGAACATTAGGTAATTTTGTTTCTGCGTGTTTCATTTTGAAGAAAGCTCGAGAGATATGGTATTTACATTCGATTTAAAATTCTAGGTGATTCAATATTTCTCCAAATCTGAGGAGAAGTATTTTAATATACAGTTTGACAATCCATCTTATTGTGTTCATATCTTGACAATTTGTACAAGAGAAGCATCGACTACATTCTGTACGCCTTGATCTTTCGTCAGTAACAAGCGAGTATATGTACCACCGACTAAACCTTTGGTTAACCGGCCTGGGTTAACACTGAGACAGCCCATCACATTCTGAAACAAAAACGTGGATTTCAATTCTGCGCAACTAACACGGTTCTCTTAGCCGAGCAGGGCTCGAAATAGCGGGCTACATGCCAATGGCCAAAAGCAGGCCATATTTTATAGAAATGGCAGGCAAAAACAAATTTGAAATGCCAAGTAAAAAAATGACAGGTGAAATTCTACATATATTTCATTTCATTTGCTTACCACAACTCATATATATAACTAGATAATTTAGTTGACTAAATATACGTTTAGATTCGAAATGTATATATAAATCCAAGTTTACTCTAGTAAATACACAAGTTTAAAAACAATAAAAATGAATATCATGAAAACATTGATTTTTACAATATGACTCATATCAAACATCGCCACTTTGGTAGTTCAATGAAACAATGAATAAAAATGGAAGACTGAAATTTATTTCACCTGCCAAAAAATTTTAGACTGGCAGACAATATTCCTTTCTCTACTTCGAGCCCTAGCTGTAGCCGAGTTAGTTTAGTTAATGCACCTGACCCATCCTATAGATGTTTATGCCATTGAATATGTTCAGCATAAACATTCAACTTAGATGTTTACGACGTTGAATATGTTCGGCATAAACATGCAGCTCAGATGTTTATGACGTTGAATATTTTCGTCATAAACATTCAACTTAGATGTTTATCACGTTGATATTCAACGTCATGATAAACATTCAACATAGATGTTTATGACATTGATATTTAACGTCATAAACATTCAAGTTAGATGTTTATGACGTTGAATGTCAACGTCATAAACATTCAATTTAGATGTTTATGATGTTTATATTCAACTTCATAAACATTCAACTTAGATGTTTATGACGTTGATATTTATGACGTTGATATTCAACGTCACAAACATTCAACTTAGATGTTTATGACGTTGACATTCAACGTCATAAACATTCAACTTAGATGTTTATGATGTTTATATTCAACTTCATAAACATTCAACTTAGATGTTTATGACGTTGATATTTATGACCTTGATATTGACGTCATAAACATTCAACTTAGATGTTTATGACGTTGATATTCAACGTACTAAACATTCAACTTAGATGTTTATGACGTTGATATTTATGACGTTGATATTCGACGTCATAAACATTCAATTTAGATGTTTATGATGTTTATATTCAACTTCATAAACATTCAACTTAGATGTTTATGACGTTGATATTTATGACGTTGATATTCAACGTCACAAACATTCAACTTAGATGTTTATGACGTTGACATTCAACGTCATAAACATTCAACTTAGATGTTTATGATGTTTATATTCAACTTCATAAACATTCAACTTAGATGTTTATGACGTTGATATTTATGACCTTGATATTGACGTCATAAACATTCAACTTAGATGTTTATGACGTTGATATTCAACGTACTAAACATTCAACTTAGATGTTTATGACGTTGATATTTATGACGTTGATATTCGACGTCATAAACATTTAACTTAGATGTTTATGATGTTTCTATTCAACTTCATAAACATTCAACCTAGATGTTTATGACGTTGATATTCAACGTCATAAACATTCAACTTAGATGTTTATGACGTTGATATTCAACGTCATAAACATTCAACTTAGATGTTTATGACGTTGATATTCAACGTCATAAACATTCAACTTAGATGTTTATGACGTTGATATTCAACGTCATAAACATTCAACTTACATGTTTATGACGTTGATATTCGACGTCATAAACATTCAACTTAGATCTTTATTCAACGTCATAAACATTCAACGTTGATATTCGACGTCGATATTCGACGTCATAAACAACATCAAGTTTGGTGTTTATGACGTCGATACTCGACGTCATAAACACCATCAAGTTTGGTGTGTCATAAACACCACCAAGTTTGGTCGTGTTTATGACGTCGAATATCGACGTCATAAACACCAAACTTGATGGTGTTTATGACGTCGAATATCGACGTCATAAACACCAAACTTGATGGTGTTTATGACGTCGAATATCGACGTCATAAACACCAAACTTGATAGTGTTTATGACGTCGAATATCGACGTCATAAACACCAACCTTGATGGTGTTTATTACGTCGAATATCGACGTCATAAACACCGAACTTGATGGTGTTTATCACGTCAAATATCGACGTCATAAACACCAAACTTGATGGTGTTTATGACGTCGAATATCGACGTCATAAACACCAAACTTGCTCGTGTTTATGACGTCGAATATCGACGTCATAAACGCCAAACTTGATGGTGTTTCTGACGTCGAATATCGACGTCATAAAC